CATCCGGATTCAATTGGCGCAACCGACAGCTGTTGCGCACCCTCTACTCCACTGTCCTGCGGTACCCGCGCCTTGATTCATTGATCAAAGCACTTAATCTCTGCATAAAATTTGCTCAAATGATTTTTGCGATTTAGCTCCGGGCGCGATTGGGAGCGCGAGGTGCTGCGTGGGAGTCCTGTCCTCGCCGAACAGCAAGAGATTCACATGTACGTTACACTATTTTAATGCAAATAGTACAATATTATTGGATATTATACATGATCTTTATTATTTGTATTATTTTTGCCGTTATTACATAATAATATTTTGCTGAGATTAACGTTAACGTTGCCTGTTGTCTGCTTGTCTATGGAGAGCAGGCTGGTGTTCGGTTTGCCGCAGCGCGTGATCGCGCGCCTGCCCGACTCGCTCTCGCTCAGCGGACGCACGCTTACGCAGCTGATCCCCATCGTCTGGCGCAACTACGCCCGAGCGGGGCTCGAGCCCTCCGCTTCGGCCGAAAGTGGCACCAGTGATGGCAACGCCGACGCCGACGCCGACACCACCAAGCCCCAGCCGCTCAAGGAGGTTTGTTCTCTCGCTACCTTAAGAGATTCGCACTATACATTTCGCGCTTACTCGTGTGTGGTGTGTGTGGTGTGTGTGTTGTGTGTGTGTGTGTGTTGTGTGTGTGATTCAAGGAGGACGTGATGGACGACATATTGGACTCGATCAAGTGCATGGACAAGCGACTGGGCACGCTCCGGCAGCTGGCGTACACCACGCGAAGCGAGAACGTCACCAGCGGGGTCAAGATCGCCGCCTCTACTGCGACTTCGCTCTGGGGCGAGGCCGGCCTATTCGAATACAAGCTCACCATCGCCAACGTACCGTCTCCGCATTTCCATTTATTTCCATTTATTTCTATTTGTTTGTATTTCTATTATCATAAATAATAATAATAATAATAATTTGGTTTTTTAATTCTTCTTTCTCTGGCGCTCAGGTCGACCCACACCGAACATTTCAACTCATCAGCCGATGTCTTACCACCGTCGATGGAAGTACGCACACAGCCGCTCACATCTCACCGCCCCCCCCCCACGCACACGAAACTAACCGTCCGAGTACCGTGTGACAGCCGGCAACAAGCACGAGTCGGCCGAGCCGGGCATTCTGACCAAGAACAGCGCCATCCCCAAGCAGCCCCACCTGGTGAGCTCCCCACCCACCCACCCGCCCCGATTCGTTCTTTGCCTGGCCACCTAGGTCGCTCAACTGACTTTCTTTTTATTGCACGCCGTGGTCATTGAAGGCTCCCGGCGCGTCCCTGAAGTTTTCGTGCTTGGCGCCCCGCGTGTTCACCGACTACGCCACACTACACGTACGACCGACCGCTGCCGCACACACGACACACGACACGACACACGACAAACGACACGACCAACGACACGACACGACACGACCAACGACACGACACGACACGACACGCACGATTGATGTAATCTCATTTAAATGAGGCGTGATGTAAAAACAGGGCTCGTTCCAGCTGATCGATGTCGAGAGCGGCGAGTTCATCGACGCCAAGCTCGCGCCGCTCGGGCTCCACCTGAAGAAGCTCAAATCCAACGCAAAGAAGGAGAGCATCACCGGTACGCGAGTGTGAACGCTCACAAATGGCCACACGCAAACACGGCACACGGCACACGGCACACGGCACACGGCACGACATACAATTGACCGCCCGCGCGATTCGTGATTCGTGGGTGCAGGCGAGCTGCGACCATCCGCCACCCTGGCCATGCGAAGCAAAGGCAAGAAGGCCAAGACTCTGGCGCACCGTGGGCCACACCGCTTGCGAAGAGACAACCCAGGATCCAGCTCCGTTCGACGACGAGACAAATGAACCTCCTTTCACCACTTCACATGACACGACACGACACACGACACAAAGAAACTCAAAGATCACAGCGATCACGTGCGCGCCAAGCGTGGCTTAGCAAGCGTTTCGTGGAAAACAAAAAAAAAGAAAAAAAAGAGGAAGAGATCAGAAAGCCGCAGATCACGAGCCCACTCACAAGACAAATGGAATCGACGCAGAAGAAGTACAAGATCCTCGTGTCGAACGACGACGGCATTGATGCGCCTGGTGTGCTCTCCATCGTGGAAGAGGTACACACATCCCCGAATCGCATCTCATTCGGCCATTTTCGGTGATTTATGTTTCCTGAGTAGTTGCATCAACCCTCATGCCCGCTGTGATTTCTGCACCAGTTGGCCCGCTACCACGACCGCTACGAGGTGCGCGTAGCCTGCCCGGCCGAGCAGCAATCCGCCCAGTCCCACGCCGTCACCATCTTCAAGCCCCTCTGGGCCGAGCCCTATGCCTTCCACTCCGACCTCGCCCATGTGCCCGCCTACAAGGTGTCCGGCACGCCCACAGACTGCGTCAAGGTGGCCCTCATGTCCGACCTGCTGGGCGGCTGGCAGCCCGACCTCGTCGTCTCTGGTATGCGCGCAACACACGACACACGACACACGACACGACACACGACACACACGGCTATGGCTGAATGCGATGGTAGGGATCAACGCGGGACAGAACGACGGATTGAATGTGATCTACTCGGGCACCTGCGCTGCGGCGTTGGAGGCGAGCATGTACGACATTCCGTCCATCGCCCTCTCGCTCGAATACAACTTTGCCATTGGAGGTTCGCTCGCCACACCACACCACCACATTTCTACATACATATATATATATATATATATTCTCCATTAAGGTGTGGTTCTCAGGCGCCGACATTGCCACTTCTTACCACTCACTTCCAGGTGTGTGGCGCTACGCGCAGTGTGCGTCCCTGGCGATTCCCATTATCGGTACACACACTTTCTCTCATGTTTTCTTCTTCGTCTTCGTTCTTCTTCTCTTCTCTTTAGCGTGTGCTTCTCCCTGCGAGCCCATCGCATTATTAATTCGCACATGTCATGTGGCAAATGTGTTAGACGCCGTATTGGCCGACATCTCGCTGTGGAAGAACATCTGCTGCAACGTCAACTTTCCCAACGTGCCCGAGGACCAAGTCAAGGTACCCCCGCTTCATCTCAGCACGCATGTCAGGACAGGGCAGCATCTTCTTAACGCGTGCGTCCGTCTCGCGTGTCGTGTCGTGTGTGTCGTGTCGTGTCGCGTGTGTCGTGTGACAGGGCTACAAGCTCACAAAGCAGGGCAACAGCAGCTTCAAGGACAAGTACGTGCGGCACCACATGACCGAGGAGGAAAAGCACCTTCACCCCACCCGCACCGTCTACCGCATGGAGGGCTTCATGGAGGTACCGCGTCGCTGCTGCGCGTGCGTCGTTGCGTGACCGCCAAGCTCATATGTTGTGTGTGTGTGTGCGTGCGTGTGTGATTAGCTGTCGGACACGGACGAGGAGCTGGACACGGTGGCGATGCGACAGGGCTGGGTGGCGGTGACGCCCATCTCGGCCTACGCTCAGAACGCGCTCGCCCTCGACACCACCGCCAAGATCACCAGCTGGCCCGTCTTTTCCCTGACTCCCGCATCCCTCTGATGTTGAAGTTGGCCGGTCAGCCAACCTGTACGTGTCGCCATAAACGCAGTGCGCACAATAGTAATTACTATTCTCCGCCTTCTTCGGCTGCCTAAGGTTGCGAGTGTGTGGTCACAGGGGGGACGGTCGGGCCAGGCCCTCGTGCCTCTTGGCCGCCTCCCAGGTGTTGCGCATCAGCATGGCCACCGTCATGGGGCCTGCTCCACGCACACGACACGGTCAATGATTGGCAATGGTTGTGTTATTGTTGTGTTGTGTTATGGGTGTGCTGGGTGGGTCTACCGATGCCGCCGGGCACGGGCGTGTAGCGAGAGGCCTTCCGGTAGGCCTCGTCGGTGCAGTCGCCCACCAACCGGTAGCCGGACTTGCGCGACGAGTCGGGAACGTTGTTGATGCCTGCGCGCAAGTGTCACCACAAGGCATCGAGGTCAGCGCCAACAACAAAGCAGCGCTCGAAAGGGTCGACTCGATGACAGACGAACCCACGTCGACGAGGACGACGCCCTGCTTGACGCTGTCAGCGGTGATCAAGCCCGCATGGCCGGCCGCCACCTGGTCGAACGAACCCACCGCTCCCCTCAATCAGGCCACTACACAAAACGCAGCGATGTAGCGGGTGTTGTGCGCGTGCATACGATGACGATGTCGGCCATCCGCGTATGAACGTGAATGTCGACCGTGCCGGAATGCACGACAGTCACCGTCGGTCCTTTCCGGCCTCCCTTTGCGCTGTCCCTTCCTCCTGCACACGACACGACACGACACGACACACGCACGACACGCACGGACTAGTGTGAGTTCGCCATTATAAGGGGCATTAGTTTTTGTCTTGCGTACCAATGAGCATGTTGGCGAGCGGGAGGCCCACCAGTTTGCTGCGGCCCACGACCACCACGTGCTGTCCTTCGAGCGAGATCCGGCTTCGCTGCAGCGCTTGCAACACGCCC